TCTAATTGTCCTAGTAAGAAAAATTATAATCAAAATTATAATAATTTTGACTCTGGTTTAACACTGTTCTGACTTAGGCTTCCCCAGCAGCATGAAGCCGAGTCCTCATAAACCCCTTTGATTTAATTTACAGTGAATTCCTCTCCAGCAGTCTTTCCTCTCCCACAGTCTTTCAAGATAGTTCATAATTACCTATCTTTATCAGGCTTGGAGAGTGGCCAGGCCGATATCTTTCAAACGCCGCAATACTTGGCAAGAATGCAGGAATGAACCAATTGTCTCCTGCAAACTCCCCTCCCCTTTCGCTCTTCTTTTTTCCCTATGGGAGGGGCCATTCACCACCCACCTGTGGCCTTATTCCCAAGTCGGCCTTTGTTTCTTAGCTGTTCCTTTCTCCTGGCAGCTTTGCACATGCGCACATCAAGAACAGGCTCCAGTTGTTCTTCTGCCCCACTGATATCCGACTCCAAAGGCAGCTGATAACTGTTAGACGGCCCTGGCCCCATCTCTGCCTCCGATGCAGAGCCCTCATCAGAGCCTTCCCCAGATTCCAGGACTGGCCCTTGTTCTTCCCCAACCTCTTCACTTTCCAAATCTGCTGCCAGCTGTACTGGCTGCTGGTGGGCTACAGCAAACACTTATATGAAACCTCTGGGCAAAATCATCCATTGAGGCCAAGTTTGGTCAGTATGATGATGATATTCAACTGTATTTCTCAACCCTTGGTGTTGTAGTCAAGATCTTTCCCCAGCAATTGGAAACTGTTGAGTCTGAAGCAGGGGGAGGAACCTTGACAAGGCTTTTGCACAGGTTTTATTACATATAAATGGAACCCTTTTCCGGAATGAAAATTTCTCAGTTATTTATGCCACAGTCACCTTGTGCATAGAGTATTGCAATGTGCTCTACATGAGTCTGCTGTTGAAGATCACTTGGAAGCTTTGGCCAATTCAGAATGCAGTGGGGTGAGCAATCATGAGCCCATCACAGTGTCCCTGTGGACACTGTGGAATTTGAAGTATTCTGAATGCAGTTCAAGATGCTAGTTACCACCTATAAAGCCCTTCATGGCACAGGGCTTGGATATTTGGCAAGAAAGGTATGTTGTGGACCTTGTCAGCCAAAGAATTGCAATTGGTAGGATCCAGGAATAGAGCCTTCTCTGGCAATGCCCCCACTTTGTGGAATATTCATTGCCTGGAGTGAGGGGGGGGGGCTGTACTCTTGGCCTTCAGGAAAGGCATTAAAATGTGACTCTGCCATCTTGCTTGGGGTGCAGAGAAGCATGTGTCTGAAGGGTTGATTAGTGCCTGAAAGCCCTCTCCCACCTTTAATTTTAACATTGCTTGTGTCTTTTTAAATTTTGTATGCAGTTTTTATATTTTTAATATTTTGTTTGTATACCACCCAGAGTCCCTCTGTGAGTAAGATGGGCAGTTTAAAAAAAAAGATAAATAAATAAAAATATATATAGGACCTCTCTCCCATCATTTCTTCTTGTTGCATAAGTTTCAGCAGAGCAGGCATGCTTTGTGTTCTGTGCGTCAAATAGTGTTATCTGATGGGACTCAGGAAGGGCTCTTTCCCTTTTGTAATGCCTGCTCTTTGGAATAGCATCTCCCCAGAGATTCAAGCTGTCCTGACTCTGTAACCATAGGACCGTGATGGAGAACCTATGGCATGCATGCCAGAGGTGGCACGCAGAGCCCTCTCTGTGGGCACAGGCGCCGTCGCCAGCTGCTCTTCTGGTTTCTGGCCAGCTGGTTTGTGTGGGTGCTGGAGCAATAGAAAATGGCCTGAAAAAAGGCCAAAAACCAGGCCATTTTGAGGCCATTTTGGCCCAGAAAACAGGCATATGCGTGCTGGCCAGCTGGTCTTTGGATTTTTGGTGCTGCAGAGTGCACATGCACGTGCATTCCAGTTTAGGCACTCGGTGCCAAAAAGGTTCTCCATCACTGCCCTAGGGTGATGATGAATCAAGTCTGGCTCTTGGCGATTCTATGGGTCAGGTCTTTGCACATCCTTCGATCTTGCACTTCAAGTTTCTCTATCAGCTTTGCTGATGTCCAGCCACCAAGTTCTTTGATGGCCTAATTTCCAAGCTTTCTTGAGTGAATTTCCCTTCTTTGACATGGTCAAAGTAAGTGAGAGAGTTTCGTGATTTTGCCTTCCTAGTGACATGTCTGGTGTTACGCATTCCAGTACTTGTTTGTTAGTTACCTTTGCGGTCCAAGGAATAGACCCTAAGGTGCCACTGCAGATTAAGGATTTTAATAAGGTTTGTTAGCTACTTTCAGTGCTATTTCTAGAAAGGCAGGATAAAAATATTTGGAATAATTAAGGAAGTACTGAACACCTAATTGAAGTTGCAGTTGCGTTCTTAATTTCTAGACCATTCTGTATCACTCTGGGATTAGGAAAGGAAACAAATGCCCTTTGTAGTCAAGATGTCATGTTCTTGATGAAACTGCAAATCAGAATGATAGCGGGAAGAGTACAAGTAGGCTTGACCTTTTTTACTCGGTGAGGAGATGGGTCTTACACTAGACCAAGAGCCATAGTGGCGCAATGGTTAGAATGCAATATTGCAAGCTAATTCTGCCGACTGACAAGAGTTTGATCCTGACTGGCTCAAGGTTGACTCAGCCTATCATCCTTCCTAGATTGGTAAAATGAGGACCCAGGTTGTTGAGGGGGGGGGCAATATGCTGACTCTGTAAAATGCTTGAAGA